AAGAATGAGAACTCTGCTCACGCTCTGTGGAAGGCTTTGGAGGATAAATTTCTGAAGAAAAGCGGCCAGAATAAGCTCCTCAGGAAGAAACGATTGTTCCGATTTGAGTACCGGCATGGCACATCGACGAATGACTACATCACTGCATTCAATCAGTTGGTTGCAGATTTGTTGAATTTGGACGTCACATTTAGCAATGAAGATTTGGCTCTTATGTTGTTATCATCACTTCCGGACGACTTCGAGCACTTAGAGACTACTCTGCTCCATGGGAAGGACAATGTAACTATTGCAGTAGTCAATTCTACTCCGTATAGTTATGAGTTGAGGAAGAAGAACAAACAAGAGACGAAGAATGCAACAGTAGAAGATGAAGCATTGGTTGCAAGAGGTCGGTCGAAGATCCAAAAGAAGAATGGACGAGGAAGATCACGTTCCAAAGCCAAGCTTGAAAAAGACGAGTGTGCTTTCTGCCATGAGAAGGGACACTGGAAGAAAGACTGTCCTAAGTTGAAGAAGAAGGACAAATCTCCTCAAGATGCATTTGTTGCTGAGGGTGGAAGTAAAGATTCAGAATTTTAACTTATGGTTTCACCTTCATCATCTCATCCAGACGAATGGATTTTGGATTCAGGATGCACCTACCATATGTCTCCATAAGGGAGTGGTTCTTCAATTTTCAAGAGATCAATTGAGGGGTTGTCTATATGGGTAATGATAATGTCTGTAAGACAACTGGGATAGGTTCAATCCGTCTGAGAAGGGATTGTTCCACTAGAGTTTCGACAGAAGTTCGGTACGTGCCGAGTTTGAAGAAAAATCCCATCTCACTAGGAGTCTTGGAATCCAAATGCTTGGTAGTGACTTTGCGAGATGGAGTTATGAAGACTACATCCGGCTCATTCGTGGTGATGAAAGGCATCAGGAGGAATAATTTGTATTACTATGAAGGTGATACAGTTGTTGGGACAGTAACAGTAGCAGATTCCACCGACAAGGAGTCTGAAGCAGTCAAGTTGAGGCATATGCGGTTGGGACATGCTGGTGAAAATTCCTTGCAAACATTGGCAAAACAAGGACTGTTGAAAGATGTGTAAAGTGTGCAAATTAGACTTTTGTGAGCATTGTGTTCTGGGGAAGCAGAAGAGAGTGAAGTTTGGAACGGCTATCCATAATACCGAAGGTGTCTTGGATTATGTCTATTCGGATGTTTGGGGACCATCTAAGACCCCATTATTAGGCAGAAGACGCTATTTTGTCACTTTGATCGATGACTTTTCCAAGCGTGTTTGGGTGTACACTATGAAGACGAAGGATGAAGTGCTTGGTGTCTTCATTACATGGAAGACACAAATTGAGAACCAGACTGGAAGGAAGATCAATGTCCCACGAGCAGACAATGATGGAGACCCTTTCAAGAAGTTTGTCGAAAAAATGGCATTGTTAGGCACTTCACCGTTAGACGGGCACCACAACAAAATGGGGTGGCGGAGCGCATGAATCGAACATTGGTGGATAAAGTTCGATGTATTTTGTCCAATGCTGGTTTGGGCAAGGAGTACTGGGCTGAGGCTGTAGCATACGCGCAACACCTCATAAATCATTTGCCGTCATCTGCAAAAGATGGTAAAACACCGTTGGAGGTATGGTCGGGAAAACCTGTTGCTGACTATGAATCTTTACATGTCTTTGGGTGTCCTACTTATATCATGTGAATAATTCAAAGTTAGATCCAAGAGAGAAAAACGTTCGTGGGAATCACAATTGGCGTGAAGAGATATCGTCTTTTGTGTCTTGAGACGAATAAAACTGTGTTTAGCAGGGATGTTACATTTAATGAACAAGGTATGATAAAGACGACGCAAACCCAACAGGCGGAGTTGACACCAAAGCAGGTGGAGATATATGCTATGATGAGACAACCAACTATGATCGACGAAACAATATCGAAGGATT